CTGTCCAGCCACTCGCCAAACCGCAGGTCAGTGAGGCTGTCTTGCCAGGGAAGAAGCGCGGCTAGCGCCGCCCCGCCGGCAGCGTCGGCTGACACAGATGCCACCGACGGGCAGAGGCGCGCCAGGTGCCGCAGCAGCGCGGGCGCGCCGGGCAGGGCGGCGGCGCCACTGCGCAGTTCGAGCGCCGCAACGCCACGTGGGAAGCTACAGCATGGCAGTTTTTCGAGCGAGGCTGCTAGGTCCGCCGCGGCGCTGCCCGAACCGGCCTTGATGCATATCGTGTGAGCGGCAGGGAAGCGCTCCGAGAGATGCGGCAGCTCGGCGGGCGCGAGGCCGCCAGCACCGAGGCGTACTCGCCCGAGGCTGCGGTCTGCTGCCGCGCGCGCCGCACGACACGACAGGCGTGCGCGGGCCCTTGTGCAGGTGCAATTGAGTTGAGCCATGACGGCCTCTATGGCTGGGCCGGGGAGCCCAGGGCCAGTGTCCATTGTTGCGGAAGGATTTCACGAGAGTCGTCTGACTAGAAAAGCGCGCTGTACTTCGGGTTTCGCTTGCTGCAAAGTTATGTAGATGAACTTCGAAATCAATTCAAACTGAATGGTCAAGCGTGTTGCTGCGTTGTCTCCACGCGCTCAACTTTGGTGCAGGAGGTTTCTGTGGGTGAGGTGGCGGCCCGACCCATGGCGCTGCGCTCCCCCGCAACATGTATCCGTCCGGGACATGGTTGGCAGGCTGAAGGCACACTTTGTGCCACAATTGCACATGCCTCGCTCCTCACGCCGCAGCCTGCGGCGGAGGATTGCCCCGAGTAGAGCATGGCAGTCGAAGGTCTTGACATGAACACGTCGGATTCGCAGTGCAGTCTTGCCTTCACATTTATCAGGTGATTGGAACATTGTATGAATGCCACATCATGTCAGTGCGGCCTGATGCAATCACTGCTTCGTGTCGCCGCCGGTCTGCGGACTGCGTGCACGCATCGAGTGCTGTGTATGTGTCGAGCTTTGCAACCGCGGGGAAACGTGTCAGTGCCCCCCTTTTTCTGGACAAAGTCAACTTGAAAGGCTCTCATGGCGCACCTTGGCTTCGGGGTTGATTTAGAAGCGCATTTGCAGGCGCCTTGCGACACGCGCACACGCCTCCGCGTGCGCCATGGGTGCCTGGACTGCTCAGAACAGCGATATTAGAGGGACATCGAAGCATGTAGGGCCCTCACATCCATGTAAGTTCCCTGTCGCGCAAGCGGTGGGCCACCGCACCGTGCGGCACGACCTGGACGGCGTTACAAGGTGACGACAGGTGCCGCCGTTCAAACGCGGGCGCTGTGGCCGTGCACGATTGCCAGCGAAGTGTTAGATTTTTTGGCCATGCCTCGCATGTAAATTTTGCAGGCTCGCGACAGCGAGGCCTGTGCGCGACCGACATCGCCGGGGGACATCGCCCAGGATTCATGGCGTCGTCCTGCGTGGATTTGACAGGCTTGTCGGATAGCGATGACGAGCCATCACCGCAGCACCCCCCTCTCGGCGCCGCTCGCGAGGCGCGTGCGGCGCCGCGGGCGCCTGCGTTCCGCGAAATGCAGCACGCTCCAGCGCTGCTGGAACAGGGATCCACGCACTCAGCGCAGCAGCAGGAGCTTCTTGAGGAGAGCGGCGGCGCTGTAGCGGGCGTCCGGGCGGCTGCGCCGCACAGCCAGCGGCAGCAGCGGCAGCAGCGGCAGCAGCGGCAGCAGCGGCAGCAGCGGCAGCAGCGGCAGCAGCGCAGCCCACAGCGCGCAAGCGGCGCGTCTGGAGGCTCCGCCGCGTCCGGCCCCGCAGCCAGCAGCAGCGAGGTTGGGTGCCATTCACTGGACGACCGCAACCTCATGCGCCAAATCAAGGGCAAGGCGCCCGCCAGCGGCCGGCGCCGCGTCAAGGGCTGCACCCCGCCGCCCGCCGATGACGTAAAACCCGAGCTCAGCGGCGCCAGCAAGGGCGACAGCGAAGGGGAGGGCCCCGACGGCGCCGGCCCGAGCCGCAAACGGAGGCGCGGCGGCGCCGGCGCCGGCGCGGGCGGCCGCCGGCGCCTGCATTTTGAGGCGGGGTGGGAAGGCGCCGGCAGCGGCGGCGGCGGCGGCGGGGGGCGCGACGTGGACGCCGATGTTTTGCAGTGCCTGCCCTCAGACGACTTGGAGGAGGGGTTTGCGGCGGAGCGGGAATTCATGCGGCGCCGGCAGCAGGAGGCGGAGGGCGAGCGTGCGGCGCGGGAGCTGCAGGCGGCGTGGGAGGAGGCGGACGGGGCCCCGAGCTCTGACGGCGGCCGCGGCGGCAGCGCCGACCGCGGCGGCGGCGGCAGCAGCGGCGGCGGCGGCGGCGGGGCCGGCCAGGATTTGGAGGCGGGGCAGCAGCGGCGGCAGCGGAAGCGGCAGGAGCGCGAGGAGGCGGGCGGCTGGGAGGGTGAGGGGCGGGACGAGGGCGGCGGGCGGCGGGGGCCGCTGCCGGGCGGCGCGAGGCGGAAGAGG